TATTTTGCGGTACGCGGGCCTCTCACCGCCGTGGCCTCTCCCGTTGCGGAGCACAGGCTCCGGACGCGCAGGCTCAGCAGCCATGGCTCACGGGCCCAGCCGCTCCACGGCATGTGAGATCTTCCCGGACCAGGGCACGAACCCGCGTCCCCTGCATCGGCAGGCGGACTCTCAACCACAGCGCCACCAGGGAAGCCCTTCTGTATAATATTTAATTAACATAAAGTTTCCTTTTCAGCTGCCTGCTGAGCACTTCGCTTGATTGTTGTTATACTGCATTTCTAAACAGGAGGCCCATCAGCTGATGTTAGTGTGCTCTGGGATCAGAGATGCAGGTAAGAAGCCTCCAAATTTAAGGGGAAAAAAGCAGTTTGAAGCAGTTTCTCAACACCAAATTATATATATAAACATCTGGAATTATTTTCATACAAGGTACCAAAATTTCTTTATAATAACTACTTTACCTTTATATGTTTCACTCCACAGCTAACCACTCTGTTCGGCTGATATGGATCCCAGGAAATATCAAAAATCTGTTTAAAAAAGATAAAAAGTTGCTCTGTTCAGCATTCATGTGTTTTTGCTTTCTTTCAGATACTGTCCAATTGCCAAGACTCTATCCTGACATTCAGAGCACAACGTTACCTACCCAAATGGAGTACTTGGCTATGGAGATGAGTCAGGAATTGCTAATACACATTTTAGCACCTTGTGTCTACTTACCTTAGTCCTGAATGAATAAGTAATAATTAACCACAATCACTGAGAACTGGTATCACATTTTTAACTTCGTCCATCCAAGGTAAATAAACTGTGATGATTTAGGATAGTTTTTTGATCAAATTTTTGGTGGCTCTCCACAATGCTAATAACACACTTTTGAGATAGCTTTACAGTGAAAACAAAGAGAATGGCAATTGTTTAAAGTGCATATTCCCCCAGCCCATGTCAGAGATTTTGATTTAGTGGATCAGAAATTAGGTCCAGGCACATGCATTTTAAAACACAGCCCAGGAGATTCTGATGCAGGTGGTCCATGGACCACATTCTGTGAAGCTCTAATAGAAAGAAGGACCAATTGTAGGGGCAGAGACTAGACTAGAGAAAGAGGCTGCTAACCTCTCATCAAGTAGGAAGCTATTGCTCCAATCATCAGACAAAGAAGGAGGACCTTTGATTAGGCAGAAAGGAACAAGTATTGACCACAGAAACAGCTCTGAAGAAAGAACACTTGGTCTAAGGACCAAGTATGAATAAGGTCCAAGTACCCATTTTATCTATGCAAGCTCAGGCAAGTCTTAGCATCTCTAACCTTAACCTCATCATCTCTAAAATGAATGAATGACACCATCTCAGTTCTGTTGTGAGGTCAATTAAGATAATGTATGTACGATCATCTTGCAGACTACAAAGCACTGATTATACAAATTAGTGCTAGGGGCTAAGTATTTTAGCCACTAAAATAATCTTGAAAATAATCATTTGCCCATAAGTAACCAATAATAATCCATACTGTCATCAACAATAAAGAGTAAAACTGTGTGATACAAATTATGGAGTCTGGGAGAACAGTGTTCTAAAAGCAGTATTTCATTAAAACATTCTAGGCCCTTAAAATTACAGAGTTCTCACTAGATAGCACTGTACTTTTTACAATCTACTCGTAACTGGAAAGTGTACAGTTCATCAGCAAAACAACAGGAAATTCATGTAGAGATCCAGTCCAATTCAACCACTTTGGAAGATAAGATATAATGGGATCACAGAACAGCAGAAACAGTAATATCCAATATGCAAGGTATGAGCAGGAAACAAGATGGTAGAGTAGAAGGACTTGAGCTCACCTCCTCTCATGAAAACACCAAAATCACAACTAACTGCTGAACAACCACCTACAAAAAAGACTTGAACCTACCAAAAAAGGTATTCCACACCCAAAGACAAAAAAGAAGCCACAACAAGACAGTAGCAGGGGCACGTTCATGATATAATAAAATGCCATACCCACTGGGTGGGAGACCAAAAGCTGGAAAATAATTATATCACAGAGGTTCTCCCACAGGAATGAGATCTGAGCCCCATGTCAGGCTCTCCAGCCTGGGGGTCTGGCATTGGGAGGAGGAGCCCCCAGAGCATTTGGCTTTGAAGGCCAGTGGGACTTGAGTGCAGGAGCTCCACACGACTGGGGGAAATAGAGACTCCACTCTTGGAGGGTGCAGACAAGGTTTCATATGCACTGGGACCCAGGGCAAAGCAGCGACTCCATAGGATCCTGGGCCAGACCTACCTGCAGGTCTTGGAGGGTCTCCTGGGGAGGCAGTGGTTGGCTGTGGCTCACTGTGGGGGCAAGGACACTGGTAGCAGAGGCCCCAGGGACCCCTTATTGGAGTGAGCTCTCCCAGATGTTGCCATTTTGGCACCGAGATCTGGCCCTACCAAACAGTTTGCAGACTCCAGTGCTGGGATACCTCAGGCCAAACAACCAGTGGTGGGGGTAGGGGGGAAACACAGCCGCACCCATCAGCAGACAGGCTGCCTAAAGTTGTCCTGAGCCAACAATCGCCTATAAATTCACCCCTTGACATGGCCCTGGACATCAGAGGGACAAGACGCAGCTCCACCCACCAGTGGGCAGGCACTAATTCCTCCTACAAGAAAGCTTCCACAAGCCCCTGGACCAACCTCACCCACCAATGGGCTGACACCAGAAGCAAGAATTACAATCCTGCAGCCTGAGAAACAGAGACCACAAACACAGAAAGTTAGACAAAATGAAATGGCAGAGAAATACATTCCAGATGAAGGAACAAGATAAAACCCCAGAAGAACAACTAAGTGAAGTAGAGATGGTCAATCTACCTGAAAAAGAAGTCAATCTACCTGAAAAAGAAGTCAATTTACCTGAAAAAGGAGGGCATGGCATGATATATTTAAAGTGATGAAAGGCAAAAACCTACAGCCTACAAGAATACTCTACCCAGCAAGGCTCTCATTCAGATTCAGTGGAGAAATCAAAAGCTTTACAAACAAGCAAAGGCTAAGAGAATTCAACACCATCAAACCAGCTTTACAACAAATGCTAAATGAAATTCTCTAGCCGGAAAAGAAAAGGTCACAACTAGAAACAAAAAAATTACGAATGGGAAAGCTCACCGGTAAAGGCAAACAAACGTACAGTAAACGTAGGAAAACATCCACACACAAATATGATATCAAAACCAGCAACCATGAGGACAGTACAAATGCAGGATATTGGAAATGCATTTGAAATTAAGAGACCAGCAACTGAAAACAATCTTGTATATATATAGACTGCTATATCAAAACCTCATGGGAGAAATGTCTATTTAGGTCTTCTGCCCATTTTTGGATTGGGTTGTTTGATTTTTTGTTATTGAACTGCATGAGCTGCTTGTAAATTTTGGAAATTAATCCTTTGTCAGTTGCTTCATTTGCAAATATTTTCTCCCATTCTAAGTGTTGTCTTTTGGTCTTCTTTATGGTTTCCTTTGCTGTGCAGAAGCTTTTAAGTTTCATTAGGTCCCATTTGTTTATTTTTATTTTTATTTCCATTTCTCTAGGAGGTGGGTCAAAAAGGATCTTGCTGTGATTTATGTCATAGAGTGTTCTGCCTATATTTTCCTCTAAGAGTTTGATAGTTTCTGGCCTCCAAAGAAGATATACAGATTGCCAACAAACACATGAAAGAATGCTCAACATCATTAATCATTACAGAAATGCAAATCAAAACTACAATGAGATATCATCTCACACCGGTCAGAATGGCCATCATCAAACAATTTAGAAACAATAAATGCTGGAGAGGGTGTGGAGAACAGGGAACACTCTTGCACTGTTCGTGGGAATGTAAATTGATACAGCCACTATGGATAACAGTATGGAGGTTCCTTAAAAAACTACAAATAGAACTACCATATGACCCAGCAATCCCACTACTGGGCATATACCCTGAGAAAACCATAATTCAAATAGAGTCATGTACCAATATGTTCATTGTAGCTCTATTTACAATAGCCAGGACATGGAAGCAACCTCAGTGTACATCAACAGATGAATGGATAAAGAAGATGTGGCACATATATACAATGGAATATTACTCAGCCATAAAAATAAATGAAATTGAGTTATTTGTAGTGAGGTGGATGGACCTAGAGTCTGTCATACAGAGTGAAGTAAGTCAGACAGAGAAAAACAAATACCGTATGCTAACACCTATATGTGTAATCTAAGAAAAAAAAGGTCATGAAGAACCTAGGGGTAAGATGGAAATAAAGACACAGACCTACTAGAGAATGGACTTGAGGAAATGGGGAGGGGGAAGGGTAAGCTGTGACAAAGTGAGAGAGTGGCATGGACATATATACACTACCAAATGTAAAATAGCTAGCTAGTGGGAAGCAGCTGCATAGCACAGGGAGATCAGTTCGGTGGTTTGTGACCACCTAGAAGGGTGGGGTAGGGAGGGTGGGAGGGAGGGAGATGCAAGAGGGAAGAGATATGGGAACACAGGTATTGTATAACTGACTCACCTTGTTATAAAGCAGAAACTAAGACACCATTGTAAGGCAATTATACTCCAATAAAGATGTTAAAAAAAAACCAAAACACCTCATGGGAACCACAAACCAAAAATCTACAATAGATACGCACACAAAAAATAAAAAGCAATGCAAACACAACACTAAAGATGGTCATCAAATCACATGAGAACAAAAGAGAAAGAGAAGGAAAAATACCTACAAAAACAAATCCAAAACAATTAACAAGATGGCAATAAGAACATACATATGGATAATTACCTTAAGGGTAAATGGATTAAATGCTCCAACCAAAAGACACATGCAGACTGAAAGTGAAGTGATGGAAATATCCCATGTAAACGGAAATCAAAAGAAAGCTGGAGTAGCAATACTCACATCAGACAAAATAGACTTTAAAGACTGTTATAAGAGACAAAGAAGGACACTACATAATGATCAAGGGATCAATCCAAGAAGAAGATATAACAATTGTAAATATATATGCACCCAACATAGGAGCACCTCAATATATAAGGCAAATGCTAACAGCAGTAAAAGCAGAAATCGACAGTAACACAGTGATAGTGGCTTTAACACCCCAGTTTACATGAATGTACATATCATCCAGACAGAAAATCAATAAGGAACCACAGGCCTTAAATGACACATTTGACCAGATGGACTTAATTGATATTTATAGAAAGCAGCAGAATAAACATTCTTCTCAAATGCACATGGAACATTCTCCAGGATAGATCACATGCTGGGCCACAAATCAAGCCTCAGTAAATTAAAAAATACTGAAATCATATCAAGTATCTTTTCTGACCACAACACTATGAGATTTGAAATCAATCACACACACACACACACACACACCAAAACTGTAAAAAACACAAACACATGGAGGCTAAACAATATGTTACTAAACAAACAAAGGATCACTGAAGAAATCAAAGAGGAAATAAAAGAATACCTGGAGACAAATGACAATGAAAAGATGACAATCCAAAAACTATGGGACACAGCAAAAGCAGTTCTAAGAGGGAAGTTTATAGCAATACAATCTTACTTCAGGAAACAAGAAAAATTTCAAATAAACAACTTAATCTTACACCTCAAGCAACTAGAGAAAGAACAAACAAAACCCAAAGTTAGTAGAAGGAAAGAAATCATAAAGATCAGAGCAGAAATAAATGAAAAAGAAATGAAGGAAATGATAGCAAAAATCAATGAAACTAAAAGCTGGTTCTTTGAAAAGATAAACAAAACTGACAAGCCTTAAGCCAGTCTCATCAAGAAAAAAAGGAAGAGGGCTCAAATCAATAAAATTAGAAATGAAAAAGGAGAAGTTACAACTGACACTACAGAAATACAAAGGATCATAAGAGACTACTACAAGCAACTATATGCCAATAAAATGGACAACCTAGAAGAAATGGACAAATTCTTAGAAAGGTATAGCCTTCCAAGACTGAACCAGGAAGAAATAGAAAATATGAACAGACAAATCACAAGTACTGAAATTGAAACTGTGATTAAAAATCTTCCAACAAACAGAAGTCCAGGACCAGATGGCTTCACAGGTGAATTCTATCAAACATTTAGAGAAGCCTTAACACCTATTCTACTGAAACTCTTCCAAAAAATTGCAGAGGAAGGAACCCTCCCAAATTCATTCTATGAGACCACCATCACCCTGATACAAAAAAACAGACAAAGATACCACAGAAAAAGAAAATTACAGGCCAATATCACTGATGAATATAGACACAAAAATCCTCAAAAAATAGTAGCAAAGATGAAGTGGGAGACTGGGATTGACATATATACACTACTATGTATAAAATAGATAACTAGTGAGAACCTATTGTATAGCATAGGGAACTCTACTCTGTGCTCTGTGGTGACCTAGATGGGAAAGAAGTCTGGGAGGAAGGGGATATATGTATACATATGGCTGATTCACTTTGCTGTACAGCAGAAACTAACACAACATTGTAAAGCAACTATGCTCCAATTTAAAAAAAAACCAAAAACTATGATCACCTCAGTAGATGCAGAAAAACCTTTTGACAAAATTCAACACCGGTTTATGATAAAAACTCTCCAGAAAGTGGGCATAGAGGGAAACTATTTAAGCATAATAAAGGCCATATATGACAAATCCACAGCTAACATCACTCTCAATGGTTAAAAGCTGAAAGCATTTCCTCTAAGATCAGGAACAAGACAAGGATATCCACTCTTGCCATTTTTATTCAACATAGTTTTGGAAGCCCTAGCCATGGCAATCAGAGAAGAAAAATAAAAGGAATCCAAATTGGAAAAGAAGGAAAACTGTCACTGTTTGCAGATAACATGATACTATACATAGAAAATCCTAAAGATGCTACCAGAAAACTACTAGAGCTCATCAATAAATTTGGTAAACAAAAAAGTTTTAACTTTGTATGGAAACACAAAAGACCCTGAATAGCCAAAGCCATCCTGAGAAAGAAAAACAGAGCTGGAGGAATCAGGCTCCCTAACCTCAGACTATACTACAAATCTGCAGTAATCAAAACAGTATGGTACTGGCACAAAAACAGAAATATAGATCAATAGAACAGGATAGAAAGTCCAGAAATAAACCCCTGCACCTATGGTCAACTGATCTACAACAAAGGAAGCAAGAATATACAATGGAGAAAAGACAGTCTCTTCAATAAGTGGTGCTGGGAAAACTGGACAGCTACATGTAAAAGAATGAAATTAGAACACTCCCTAACACCATATGCAAAAATAAACTCAAAATGGGTTAAAGACCTAAATGTAAGACTGGATACTATAAAACTCTTAGAGGAAAACATAGGCAGAACACTCTCTGACATAAATCACAGCAAGATCTTTTGGATCCACCTCCCAGAGTAATGAAAATAAAAACAAAAATAAACAAATGGGGGCTAATGAAACTTAAAAAGCTTTTGCACAGCAAAGGAAACCATAAACAAAACGAAAAGACAACCCACAGAATGGGAGTAAATATTTGCAAAGGAAGCAACCAACAAGGAATTAGTCCCAAAATATACAAATACCTCATGCAGCTCCATATCAAAAAACAAACAAACCAAAAAAAAAAAAAAAGGGCAGAAGATCTGAACAGATATTTCTCTAAAGAAGACATACAGATGGCCAAAAAGCACATGAAAAGATGCTCAACATCACCAATTATTAAGAAATGCAAATCAAAACTACAATGAGGTATCACCTCACACCAGTCAGAATGGCCATCATGAAAAATTCTACAAACAATAAATGCTAGAGAGGGTGTGGAGAAAAGGGAACCCCCCCACACTGTTGGTGGGAATGTAAATTGGTACGAAAGAATGTAAATTGGTAAAACCACTATGGAGAACAGCATGGAGGTTCCTTACACAACTGAAAAATAGAACTACCATATGATCCAGCAACCCCACTTCTGGGCATATATCCAGATAAAACCATGATTCGAAATGATACATGCACTCCAATGTTCATTGCAGCACTATTTACAATAGTCAAGACATGGAAGTAACCTAAATGTCCATTAACAGAGGAAGAGATAAAGAAGATGTGGTATAAGTACAATGGGATACTACTCAGCCATAAAAAAGAATGAAATAATACCATTTGCAGCAACATGGATGGACCTAGAGATTACCATACTAAGTGATGTAAGTCAGACAGAGAAAGACAAATATCACATGATATCACTTATATGTGGAACCTAAAAAAATGATACAAGTGAACTTATTTACAAAACAGAAACAGGCTCACAGCCTTCGAAAACAAACTTATGGTTACCATAGGGGAAAGGTGGGGGGGGGGAATAAGTTATGAGTTTGAGATTAACATATACACACTACTATATATAAAATAGATCATCAACAAGGACCTACTATATAGCACAGGGAACTATACTCAATATTGTATAATAAACTATATTGGAAAAGAATCTGAAAAAGAATGGATATATGTATATGTACAACTGAATCACTTTGCTGTACACCTGAAATATAACACTGTAAATCAATTATACTTTAATATAAAATTAAAATTATATTAAAAATAAGTAAATAAAATTAATACATAGAGAATAAATACTGATATAATTTAATGTAGAAAAAAACCCAAATGCAAGAATCACAAATATTTTCAACCTGCTTATTAAGTACTAAGTTAATACCAATTAAATAGCAGTAAGTTAATATCAACACCTGGGGGTAAAGCCCAAGCATCACTATACTCTAAAATCTTCCCAGGATGTGTAGCCAGTGGTGGGAACCATTGCGCCAGACGGGTGCCAGGCCTCTTCCAACACTAACGTTCCATTGCTGATCACTCCTGGACTTTCTGAGGACTTAATCCTCGAATACAATTTGCCCAAATGTTCAGTAAAAACTAAGGGGGCCCCTTAAAATGAGAATTCTCCCTAGATGAATATGCCATTCATATAAAGAAATCTTTTAGAGTTCACACCAATCAAGAGGCAGTGAATTTACATTTAATTAGGGCCTCATTCTGCATGGAGTTATACTTTGCAGAAATACAGATCAACTAGGAATCAATGTAAGACAGTATGCAAATTCATTTTTTTAAATTAGAAAATCAAGACAATAAAATAGCCAAATTATTTTAATTATTCCAGACACTTGAGAAATACATTTCTGACCAGCTAATGCACATGCCTGCTTCCTACCCCATCTTGCCAGCTATGGCTACATGGAATTATCATCTACGATCACAATGACTTCAATATGAATGGTAAGCAGACAATTTATATTCCAGTTTCTTGAATATAACAAAGAATCACACAGTTGTCATTACATTCATTTGAAATTCAAATGTATACACTTGTAAACATACCTTGTGAATATTATTTTCTAACAACTATTTCCATTTCTAAATGAATACACCTAAACAGTGCATATAATTTCAAATTCAATTCTTCTTTTATTTTATGAAGCTAAATGCCAGTATCAAAAATCTGTTTTGCCTATGAATAACAGTAACAATTTAAATAAAGCATCTGATCACCAGAAGAGATCATGCCAACAGAGCTACTAATCATAAATTAATTTTTATAAACAGTAAGATTTTAAGTTGCATATGGAAGGAGAATCTACACTTGAAAATTTTATTTTAAAAAATACTACAACTCTGAGAAGCTACATCACAGTTCCCTCACAGTAATGAAACCTGCATGGCTTGATCCAACAAGGTCTTCTTACCCGGTCGGAGTGGCCAGTGGCTGAGGCCAGAAGTTTTCCCTTCCTCCAGTCCCAAATGCAGACTGTGTTTTTGGCATCCAATCCCACAGAGGCTAAACGCTAAGAATAAGAACAATAATTTAATACCAGAAAATGATGGGAAAACTTCCTATTATCCATTCCATCTTTCGATAAATAGTTCTTATTACCTACTATGGGCTAAGTATTGAATTTCTTGTGAAAAAAATGATTTCTCAAAACCCATCTTAAATCCAAAGCTAAAGATATCACAGTAGATATTATTCCATTAGCATATACTAAAATTTCAACAACCTAAAACCTACAACCAATTTGTCCTTCTTAAACATAGGAAACATGCAAAATCTCATGAAGTCTCTGATTTATCAGTGGAAATCATAGGAACAGAACTAGAAGGCAGGATTTAAATTTTCAAATTTAAGATCTTAATACGGTTTTAAGAGCATCTAGGATTCTGTAGTCTAAAAGCCTCACCAAACTGTTAAAATGAAAGGGTTTGACAAACACATGGAAAAGAAATCCCATAAATGAACATTATCTTCATTCTTCTTAATTTTCATAATTTCACAAACATTTGGAGTGACTACAGAAGGATACATAGTTTTAGTAAAAGTACTCTGGTACTTCATCTCCCAGTCTAAATTCATTGGATTCAGATCAGACCTTGTCCTCAAAGGGAAAAAAAATCCCACACCTGAGTATATACAAAATTAACAGGGTCAAAACACATATTAGGGACACCAAAATCAGAGCTTCTAGCAGCATAGAAACAAAACTATGTAATCAAGAGAGGTCTGGGCTGGGAGTAAGTAGATTTGGCTTCACTTTTGACTTCATGATTAGCCAGACATAAGACCTTAGAAAATTAAACTCCTTAAATTTCAGTTTTTTCAACTGTAAAATGAGTATAAAGTATTTTTTCTGTCTACAAAGTAGTACTGTTGTATGGATCAGTGAAATAATGTAAGTCAAAAGGTTTTAAAAACATCACTACCCAAGTATAACAGTATGTGAGCTTATGTATTTCACTGTGTGTGTGTACGTGCATATATATGCAATGACAGATAGCCATATATGGCTAAATACATTTAGTGTTATGCAGAGATTATTCAGGTTTCTTCACTAAAGGTAGCTTCCATTAGGAATATTCAGTATAAAAAAATATAGCTGGAGGTTTTAAAATAGGTGCTTATTGAAAGGAGGTCTTTGCTGTAATTTTCAATTGAGAGTTCCAGTAATGGAAATGATTTTAAGACATGGTTGTATTTTTATCTATATATGAAAATTTGAAGTGGGTGAATTCCATTCAGCTTATTTTTTTCTTTTCTCTTTACTTTAACAGAAAAAGCAGTTAACATAAACATGGGCACTAAAGTAAAACCCACATAAGAAATGTGAAGAAGACTGAGAAAAAGCCAAAAGAAATCTATTCTGTTCATTTGCAGTGACAGGCCCTATCGCTACCGGAAAAGCATTTCAATTGCCTTTTGATGCTTGTGAGGTGATGGTCCATTTGTCATTTTCTAAATATCGCTCGATTCCAGTGAACTCTGTCCAGGGAAAAAGGCAGATCTGAAGCAATAGGCATCAACAAGCCACGAAATCCATCACAGCAAACAAATAGGAGGTTATTTTTCTCAACTGACAGTTGTGAAAGTACCATGCAGTTCATCCCTGTCTCTACCTTCAAAATGGAACCTAAAAAAATAGCTAGGATTCTAACACAAAATAAAATGAACAAAGAACTAAAAGTTACAGCTGGATTTCCCCCTGCTACATTACATTTTTCTTGTGATTTTGATAAAGAATGTTTGCTAGAACATTGATAAAGAATGTTTGCTAGAATTTTGATAAAGAATGTTTGCTAGAAAAGCAAAATCAGATAGAGAATGTGCATGTAAGTTCACATCAAAGCATTCATTTACACTTGTACATACATATGCATCCTGACACATTCATTCAGTTTAGTCAGGAAGTCAATAACTGCAAATCTGAACACACGTTACTATCTAGCTATTTCTCTTTAGACCTGGATATACAATAGAACTTATGCATTATCCTGACTAAACTGGACAAGATTATAGAGTAGTTAAATCAAAAACATATTTACCAGGGGTCCATATATGTATTGAATCTAATTCTGGAAAGAAAAATGAATAGAATGATCACTACTCTCTCAAAATAGCAGAAAACACAAAGTAAATCTTAACTGTTTAAAAAGTGACCCAAACCAGGTCAAGTCCTATCTGAACTGCCTGCAAACTCTCAGCTTGGTCAATCTTCTATGAATAATTTCACAGGTCTTTCCACAATATGGACTTAGAGAAGTAACTCTAAAATTTACCAAAAAATAGACTGAAGGAACTAACTGGCATTAACACAAGAGTGCAAAGAGACAGAGGAAGGGCGTCCTAGGAATGTGGAGAAGGCTAGGAAGAAAAGGCATGGCCTTCGTGAGGAGGTGAATGCAAGGGGAGCCAGGAATGAGGCCTTTACACTTCCACTCCCTTCTCTTTAACATCTTTTAAAAATTGAGATAGAATTGGTATCTATAACACATTAACAAATCTGGAAGTCCACAGAAAGAGAGACACTTTGTTGGAATGGGAGACTGGGAGGGCTTCATGAAGACCTATGAAGTGTCTTGGAAGAATGAATCACTTTAAGGGGCAAACAGGGTGAGCAGGGCACTGGAGGTGAAGAGGGCAGCATGAGAAAGTGTCTGGAGGTGCCAAGGTACCTGGTCTGGTAGAGGAATCTCTCTGACTTATCCAACTTGACTGCAAGGGAATAGTGAAGAGAAGGCTAGAAAAGTTGGTCAGCCTAGAATGCCCAGCCACAAAGTGTGGACTTCATTCAGTGGGTACTCCAAGCTTCTGTTGTTTTTAAACAACGTTCTGACACTTTTTCAGTTGGTGAAATGCATTAGCAAGAAATTGACTGTGTGAAGACAGGTTACTTAAACTGTCAGGCATGACACAGATTTGGAACTTAAAGGATGGTGGCAGGGAGAATGGGAAGGAGAGAATGAATGTCAGAGTCACTGTAAAGAAACTAATAAATACACATGGATCAGTGACTGCTTGAATTGAGGTGAGCGGGTAGGGGAAAGGAGTTAGAAGTCACCTCAAGGTTAAAGAATCAAATAGAATCTTCTCAATGAATTATTAGGAGGTGATGCTATCTTCTGAAAGCAAGGGGAACCAAGGAGATACTCAGGGCTTGAGGTCAGTGAAAAAGGTTCAGTCCAACCCTCATTCCAAATAGGAAGCTAACAATGGAAGACAAAGTAGAATCACTGAGTCACTATGAACCCAATCAACATGAAGTTCACAACTTCCTTTCTGGGGGCTTTTTAACCTAATAGTGAGACTGGGGGAACCAAAACTAGGTCCTATCCAGAGCTGGATCTCAGTACCATGAGTGTGGAAAAGGACCAAACATATGAGGATTCTAAGAGGCTGACAAGGGGAGATAGGGAGGGCTGATAGACCTTCTGAGCCTATACGCTATGTGCATTATAATTCTAGGTGACTTGTGAGAAGTCATTAAAGAAAAAGAAAATGCAAAAAGATACATACCTGTCCATCCGAGTCGAAAGCCAGGCAGGCGACTCCATGTGTATGGACATCTTTCAGAATAGACACAGTCTGGACATTATAGGAGTCCCATATACATATATATGGCTCCTTCCCCACTTGGCCAGTTGCAACAAGGGTTTTATCTGGGTGTAAGGCAAGGCTGAAAAAGAAAAAGGCCTCTTTCACATCTTCCTATTGAACAAAGTTAAGAAAAACATTGATCATCTTTTATCCACATTGCTCATTTTAATCATCTAACAAGATAATCCCAAGAGAAAGAGTCCAAACTGTCGCCCAAGTAATGAATTGGCTGATTGGTCTAATAGAAACATTCAACTTTGGCCAAGAGAGGCTTAGCACAGTTTAACAATAATTTCATCTCATCTTACCCGCTTGGTAACCTTGAAAATCAGACAACTGTTATAATTCTGTGATTCTATGTTCTATCATTGCCTTATGTTATGGTATTTACTTACTGATTTTGAAAATATTACTTAGCTTTCAAATTAACTTTTGACTTTAAATTGGGGAAAAAAATGCTGTTGCCAGGAGAAAGCGTACTTCTCAGAATTAATTAAACCTGCTTGCAGAAGCTCTGGATACCATCCTCATTAGGATTTCAAAGCATGGAGGGGGGTTTCAGAGTCAAGTGCTGTTTCTGTATCTGCTGCCATAGATTATGTATTTTAAATGAAAATTTCTATTTTACACAAATCACTGTGACACTAAGAGAACCACAAATTACTATGCCTGTGGTTTGTGTAGAATTTTTCCTACAACTGTAGTGCAATCAAAATAAAACTGTCAAATGCCAACTAGAATTTCAAGGAATCTGTAGCAGTTAAGAGGGAGAAATGTAATCATTATTACTCCTAGATGAGAAATCACTCGAACGTTTTAAATTCGTTGTGTAAAGGAGTTGTGCCTTTCTAAAAACAGGTGTTGGGAATTAAACGAAAGACCTATGTAAAAAACTATCAGATGACTGTTTACACAATAAACAAAAGTAGAACTTTTTTCCTTTTCAATTTCAGCATCTGTTTACAGTTAACAGAAGCAGAATTGTTTTTTCCTTTTCAATTTTCAGCTTGATTTTGATAAGAATATATGCTCTGGAATCAGAGCATTTGGATTTACACCTGGATTTGCACATTGGCTGCCCCTCAATACCTCTAGTTCCTTGGACATATTACTTGATCTCTTTTGCCCTCAGGTTCCTCATCTATGAAATGAAGATAACATATGAAAATAGATGATATAATGAATACAGAGCAGTTAGCACAGAGTAAGTACTCAAGTTTCATTATCATCATTATTTGTGTAACTGGCGACAGATACAACCAACATAGGCACGTCTCTGTTGATACGGGTGTTCCTTTTAGAAACAAACTACTTTCTGCTTCTCCCCCCGCCCCCAATTCTGCAACCACCAAGCCCCACAGTCTGTTCTGGTGTCTCTCATCCCACTGTGCTCACTTCCTGGGTCTCCCACCAAACCTAGTACCATCTTTTGCACAGGACCCCGAGTGCTGGCTCCCTTTCCTTACCGTCGGTGCTCCCAGGCCCTTGTACCCTGGCGCCGGGGTGCAGCTGGCCTTCCCAGGAGCTCCCAGTGCCCCCATCCACAGGTCTTCAGTCCCCGTGATGCCTCCTAAGCTGGAGGTCGGCTCCACTTGCACTCTCCCTACGAGGCTGGATGCTTCATCGAGTTTTGGTTTTTCCTTTTTCTTTGTAAGCAAAAAGGGTGGAGTTGGAGCTGCCTGGAGGGTGAGCTTTGTGGTTTGGGCTGCAGAGTGGGGGGAGGGTGAGTGTGGGTCCAGATGGAGGGGGAGGAAGAGGATGGATTGGGAGCGTTGACCTTCGGGGCGTCTCACAGGAATCAGGCGCAGGCACTTCTGCCGCCACCGCCCTTCCAAGAAACAGCCCCATCTCACGAGATCTCGGGAGTTCTGCGGAGGCGGAGGCTTCCTGGGATGAGAGACACCTGCGTGCTCCAGGTGCCAGTGAGGACGCTCCAGTCAGAAAGGAGTTTGGCTCACACCACCAATCAAGCAAATCTCAATCTGCCTCACCTGCCCTCCCCCCACCCCCTACCCCCCACCGCCAGCCATAGTCACAGGGCACTCTCCCCAGGGGCCTGGCCAGGCGCTGGGGACCAGGCTGTGGCCCAAAGGCTGTGCAGTGGGGAGACTGCCTGAGTTCAGAACTTGGGAGTGAAATGCACGCAGGTGGGCCGAAAGTCTATCATCTTTCAGGAAGAGGAAGGACAAATCCAGTATCTGCCATGGTCCAAGGCTGCAGCAACCCTTATGCACCATGTCACTGCACATCCTCGGGGGGCCAGTTGTTCCTCCTGGCAGCAGCGAGCTGTCTAGAATTCACCCCAGGAGACCATGGCTGCCTTTTCCTCAAGCCTTTCCCCTGCAGCACCACCTCAGGCATTGCTCTCCCTTTCTGACCCAGTCCAACTGCCTGCGCCCTGCGATGGGTGAGCCGGCCTCTCCAAGCAAGCCCCTCCATCAGGAAACGTGCTCCTCTTTCGAACTCTGTCAGGGAGTCTATGGGCCCGGGCCTGCTCTGGACGGGAGAGTGTGGGGTTTCCCGGGAAGGCAAACAAGGTGCAGGTGATTTCCTGGCTTCAGCTGTGATGGGAGTGAACGTGGGTCTTGATGGAGGGGAAGGGAGGAGAGGATGGGCTGGGATGAGAAACACCTCGGTGCCCCGAATCTGAGTTGGCCATCTTAGTACTTGCTGGAAAATATATCCTCTGGGATCGTTATGAGGAGTAAAATAAAAAGAAGACACACATAAAAGGGTAGCTTTTTCACAATAGGTGACTCTTAGAGGCTTTAAAACATTTTAAGCTTGTAGAACACTTCAGCATTCACAGTTGGTGAGAGAAGACCAATAAAGTATAAAAGTACCCCCTCAATATCAATTTTGCTGGGATACCTCTGGTCCTTGATACTTTCTAGATGTCCTAGAAAATTGCAAGTAGATTATGGAGTGTCATACTTGTTTCATTAAAATAGTGGATGGAAGCAGTCTTATGAAAACCCTATGACAATTTAGTGTATTTTAGTTCATTCATTCAACAAACCCTTATTTAAGGACCTATGAAATGTCAGGTGGTGCCATAGATAACAGAAAATACACTGCCCTTCTCTCAAGAAGCCCACCTTAAAAGGAAGGACAGACGTATAAAATAATAACGGGCAGGCCAGGGCAGCCGTGAAAGCCCTTTTAATCGGGCCAGAAAGTTCGGGCATCACTGACAGTCAGGAGCAGGATACAACATAAATAGTTTCACATGTCAGGAAGGTAACCCTAGTAGCAGTGAGGAACAGTGGGAAGAACAGATGGGTGAGGGCTGTTAAGAGAGGAAGCAGAGAGGCCAGAGACTAGGTGAGAGAGAGTGAGGTACGACAGGGGCAGAGAGGAGGGAGAAGAAGAGTCAAGAGATATGTAAGGGAAAGAGAGCAAGAGAGAGACAGGGTGAGGGTGTTTGAGGCTAAGGAAAAGCTTGAACATGTCAAACCTGACAGCTTTTTGCTTAGGCAACTGGGTTGATAAATCACAGAGCTTGGCAGCATTAGAGTCTGAAACCCGATCCTGGGAAAAAGATGGCCTTAACTCGACCTTAGTCTCTGCCAAAGAGACTCCCCAGGTTTACACCACACCTGAAGTCCCAAGAGCTATGAAGAAGAGGATTTGATGAGACTGTCTGTTCCATGAGGGCAAGGGCTGTTTCTATCACTCTACATGGTTCCTGGAACATCGTGGCAGAGTAAGCATTAACAAGGTGCTTGCGAGAGGAATGCTGGACATCGAGAGGTGAGAAGGGAGGATGGCCAGAGCGTCACCATGCTGCTCCCCCATCCCATGCCTTGGGCCCCCTCCCTTGGGAACAAACAGATGTCAGAAACTGAGCTGGAAAAGATAAAAGTCAGAACAGCTGAGCATTTTGAAAATGACAAAAATAACATTTCTTGGTTGAAGGAAGCCATGTGGTTGACAGGGTCTTGATGCTCTGGCCGGGTGTCAGGCCTGTGCCTCTGAGGAGGGAGAGCCGAGTTCTGCACATTGGTCCACCAGAGACCTCCCGGCTCCATGTAATACCAAACGGCGAAAGATCTCCCAGAGATCTCCATCTCAATGCTAAGACCCACCTCCACTCAACGACCAGCAAGCTACAGTGCTGGACACCCTATGCCAAACAACTAGCAAGACAGGAACACAACCGCACCCATTAGCAGAGAGGCTGCCTAAAATCATGTTAAGGTCACAGATACCCCAAAACACACCACCGGACTCGGTCCTGCCCACCAGAAAGACAAGATCCAGCCTCATCCACCAGAACACAGGAACCAGTCCCCTCCACCAGGAAGCCTACACAACCCACTGAACCAACCTTAGTCACTGGGGGCAGACACCAAAAACAATGGGAACTACGAACCTGCAGCCTGCAAAAAGGAGACCCCAAACACAGTAAGTTAAGCAAAATGAGAAGACAGAGAAACACACACAGATGAAGGAGCAAGGTAAAAATCCACCAGACCAAACAAATGAATAGGAAATAGGCAGTCTACCTGAAAAAGAATTCAGGGTAATGATAGTAAAGATGATCCAAAATCTTGGAAATAGAATGGAGAAAATACAAGAAACGTTTAACAAGGACCTAGAAGAACTAAAGAGCAAACAAACAATGATGAACAACACAATAAATGAAATTAAAAATTCTCTAGAAGGAATCAATAGCAGAATAATTGAGGCAGAAGAACGGATAAGTGACCTGGAAAATAAAATAGTGCAAATAACCACTGCAGAGCAGAATAAAGAAAAAGAATGAAAAGAATTGAGGACAGTCTCAGAGACCTCTAGGACATCATTTAACACACCAACATTTGAATTATAGGGGTCCCAGAAGAAGAAGAGAAAAAGAAAGGGACTGAGAAAATATTTGAAGAGATTATAGTTGAAAATTTCCTTAATATGGGAAAGGAAATAGTCAATCAAGTCAAGGAAGGACAGAGAGTCCCATACAGGATAAAGCCAAGGAACAACATGCCAAGACACATATTAATCAAACTATCAAAAATAAATACAAAGAAAAAATATTAAAAGCAGCAAGGGAAAAACAACAAATAACCTTATGGGGATTCCCCTGTATGTTAACAGCTGACCTTTCAGCAGAAACTCTGCAAGCCGGAAGAGAGTGGCAGGACATATTTAAAGTGATGAAAGGCTAAAACCTACAACCAAGATTACTCTACCCAGCAAGGAACTCATTCAGATTTGATGGAGAAATTAGAAGCTTTACAGACAAGCAAAAGCTAAGAGAATTCAGCACCACCAAACCAGCTCTACAATAAATGCTAAAGGAACTTCTCTAGGCAGGAAACACAAGAGAAGGAAAAGACCTACAATAACAAACCCAAAACAATTAAGAAAATGTAATACGAACATACATATATATCAATAATTACCTTAAATGTAAATGGATTAAATGCTCCAAAAAAAGACATAGACTGGCTTGATACAAAAATGAGACTCATATATATGCTGTCTACAAGAGACCCACTTCAGACCTAGGGACATATACAGACTGAAACTGAGGGGACGGAAAAAGATATTCCATGCAAAGGGGAATCAAAAGAAAGCTGGAGTAGCAGTTCTCATATCAGACAAAATAGACTTTTTTTGTTTTTTGTTTTTTGTTTTTTTTTGCGGTACATGGGCCTCTCACTGTTGTGGCCTCTCCTGTTGCAAAGCACAGGCTCTGGACGCGCAGGCTCAGCGGCCATGGCTCATGGGCCCAGCCGCTCCGTGGCATGTGGGATCTTCCCAGACCAGGGCACGAACCCGTGTCCCCTGCACTGGCAGGTGGACTCTCAACCACTGTGCCACCAGGGAAGCCCCAAAATAGACTTTAAAATAAAGAATGTTACAAGAGACAAGGAGGACACTACATAATGATCAAGGGATCAAACCAAGAAGAAGATATAACAATTATAAATATATATGTACCCAACATAGGAGCACCTCAATACATAAGGCAACTGGTAACAGCTATAAAAGAGGAATTGACAGTAACACAATAATAGCAGGGGACTTTAACACCTCACTTAAACGAATGGAGATCATCCACAGAGAAAATTAATAAAGACACACAAGCTTTAAATGACACAGTAGACCAGACAGATTTAATTGACATTTATAGGACATTCCATCTAAAAACAACAGAATACACTTTCTTCTCAAGTGCTCATGCAACATTCTTCAGGATAGAACATATCTTGGGTCACAAATCAAGCCTTGGTAAATTTAAGAAAATTGAAATCATATCAAGTATCTTTTCTGACCACAATGCTATGAGACTAGATATGAATTACAGGAAAAAATCCGTAAAAAATACAAGCACATGGAGGCTAAACAATACACTACTAAAGAACCAAGAGCTCACTGAAGAAATCAAAGAGGAAATCAAAAAATACCTAGAAACAAATGACAATGAAAACACGACAACCCAAAACCTATGGGATGCAGCAAAAGCAGTTCTAAGAGGGAAATTTATAGCAGTACATTCCTACCTCAAGAAACAAGAAACATCTCAAATAAACAACCTGACCTTACACCTAAAGCAATTAGAGAAAGAAGAACAAAAACACCCCGAAGTTAGCAGAAGGAAAGAAATCATAAAGATCAGATCAGAAATAAATGAAAACGAAATGAAAGAAACAATAGCAAAGATAAATAAAATTAAAAGCTGGTTCTTTGAGAAGATAA